GGGCTTGGTGGTCGGCCCAAACTGAGTTCGGTAAAGAGAGTCCGAATCTTATCTTCCATTCGCGCTTTGAAGGCTTCGAATTTAGCATTGATTGCCTCCTTAGATGCCATAGTATATGCCTCCAAATCTGTGATGTTAAGATCTCTCTTTTGTTGTCGGGCTGAGGGCTTCAGTATTGCTAATCGGGGAGCGACCCAAGTCTTTCAGGCTACATGGTTCAATCGCTCCTCTTGAAGTCGTGCGAAAGAGATGGCTGCCATAAGTGTGTACGGTTGTCGTGCTTTAACTTCTCCCTGGATCTCCGGCTTCAAGCCCTAAATGAAGGTCCCCAATAGCTGTTTTTGAGACTAATCACGAGTTTGATTAGATAACCTTTTAAACCTTGTTTGGTACTCCTGAATGGTGGAGGTTTGTCGGATCTTTGCTAGTTATCCGTTAATGTTTTCATAATCGGTTGGTCCGAAGCGGATCAGCAGTCCTTCTTTGAATTGTCGCCATGAGAGGATTCCATGAGTGTGTTCAAACTAGTCAAACCATTGTATGACATCCCTTTCAAGATGTATAGTCACAATTTTCACCATAGATGGGTCCGCGGTTTTGTGGTACCGAAAATATCGCTCCGCGCGCGAGATCCAACCAATCGGGTCTCCTTCTTCCCATCTAGGGAAGTCCACCCTCATGCGTGGATAGTTGGGATCGATCATAGAACCTCCCCTCTCTTGGAAGTCATCTCTTCGGGCATGGTGCGATTGGTTAGAGCTCTCCCCTTGATGTGATTTCTTCGGGCTTGGTGGTCGGCCCAAACTGAGTTCGGTAAAGAGAGTCCGAATCTTATCTTCTATTCGCGCTTCGAAGGCTTCGAATTTAGCATTGATTGCCTCCTTAGATGCTATAGTATATGCCTCCAAATATGTGATGTTAAGATCTCTCTTTTGTTGTCGGGCTGAGGGCTTCAGTATTGCTAATCGGGGAGCGACCCTAGTCCTTCAGGCTTCATGGTTCAATCGCTCCTCTTGAAGTCGTGCGAAAGAGATGGCTGCCATAAGTGTGTACGGTTGTCGCGCTTTAACTTCTCCCTGGATCTCCGGCTTCAAACCCTCAATGAAGGTCCCCAATAGCTGTTTTTGAGACTAATCACGAGTTTGATTAGATAACCTTTCAAACCTTGTTTGGTACTCCTGAATGGTGGAGGTTTGTCGGATTTTTGCTAGTTATCCGTTAATGTTCTCATAATCGGTTGGTCCGAAGCGGATCAGCAGTGCTTTTTTGAATTGTCGCCATGAGAGGATTCCATGAGTGTGTTCAAACTAGTCAAACCATTGTATGGCATCCATTTCAAGATGTATAGTCGCAATTTTCACCATAGATACGTCCGCGGTTTTGTGGTACCGAAAATATCGCTCCGCGCGCGAGATCCGACCAATCGGGTCTCCTTCTTCTCATCTAGGGATGTCCACCCTCATGAGTGGATAGTTGGGATCGATCATAGAACCTCCCCTCTCTTGGAAGTCATCTCTTCGGGCTTGGTGAGATTGGATAGAGCTGTCCCCTTGATGTGATTTCTTCGTGCTTGGTGGTCGGCCCAAACTGAGTTCTGTAAAGAGAGTCCGAATCTTATCTTCCATTCGCGCTTCGAAGGCTTCGAATTTAGCATTGATTGCTTCCTTAGATGCCATAGTATGTGCCTCCAAATCTGTGATGTTAATATCTCTCTTTTGTTGACGTGCTGAGGGCTTCAGTATTGCTAATCGGGGAGCGACCCTAGTCCTTCAGGCTTCATGGTTTAATCGCTCCTCTTGAAGTCGTGCGAAAGAGATGGCTGCCATAAGTGTGTACGGTTGTCGTGCTTTAACTTCTCCCTGGATCTCCGGCTTCAAACCCTCAATGAAGGTCCCCAATAGCTGTTTTTGAGACTAATCACGAGTTTGATTAGATAACATTTCAAATCTTGTTTGGTACTCCTGAATGGTGGAGGTTTGTCGGATCTTTGCTAGTTATCCGTTAATGTTCTCATAATCGGTTGGTCCGAAGCGGATCAGTAGTCTTTCTTTGAATTGTCGCCATGAGAGGATTCCATGAGTGTGTTCAAACTAGTCAAACCATCGTATGGCATCCCTTTCAAGATGTATTGTCGCAATTTTTACCATAGATGCGTCCGTGGTTTTGTGGTATCGAAAATATCGCTCCGCGCGCGAGATCCAACCAATCGGGTCTCCTTCTTCCCATCTAGGGAAGTCCACCCTCATGCGTAGATAGTTGGGATCGATCATAGAACCTCCCATCTCTTGGAAGTCATCTATTTGGGCTTGGTGCGATTGGTTAGAGCTCTCCCCTTAATGTGATTTCTTCGGGCTTGGTGGTCGGCCCAAACTGAGTTCGGTAAAGAGAGTCTGAATCTTATCTTCTATTCGCGCTTCGAAGGCTTCGAATTTAGCATTGATTGCCTCCTTAGATGCTATAGTATATGCCTCCAAATCTGTGATGTTAAGATCTCTCTTTTGTTGTCGGGCTGAGGGCTTCAGTATTGCTAATCGGGGAGCGACCCTAGTCCTTCAGGCTTCATGGTTCAATCGCTCCTCTTGAAGTCGTGCGAAAGAGATAGCTGCCATAAGTGTGGACGGTTGTCTCGCTTTAACTTCTCCCTGGATATCCGGCTTCAAGCCCTCAATGAAGGTCCCCAATAGTTTTTTTTGAGACTAATCACGAGTTTGATTAGATAACCATTCAAACCTTGTTTGGTACTCCTGAATGGTGGAGGTTTGTCGGATCTTTGCTTGTTATCTGTTAATGTTCTCATAATCGGTTGGTCCGAAGCAGATCAACAGTCCTTCTTTGAATTATCGCCATGAGAGGATTCCATGAGTGTGTTCAAACTAGTCAAACCATTGTATGGCATCCCTTTCAAGATGTATAGTCGTAATTTTCACCATAGATGCGTCCGCGGTTTTATGGTATCGAAAATATCGCTCCGTGCGCGAGATCCAACCAATCGGGTCTCCTTCTTCCCATCTAGGGAAGTCCACCCTCATGCGTTGATAGTTGGGATCGATTATAGAACCTCCCCTCTCTTGGAAGTCATCTCTTTGGGTTTGGTGCGATTGGTTAGAGCTCTCCCCTTGATGTGATTTCTTCGGGCTTGGTGGTTGGCCCAAACTGAGTTCGGTAAAGAGAGTCCGAATCTTATCTTCCATTCTCGCTTCAAAGGCTTCAAATTTAGCATTGATTGCCTCCTTAGATGACATAGTATATGCCTCCAAATCTGTGATGTTAAGATCTCTCTTTTGTTGTCGGGTTAAAGGCATGTATAGGTTGAGAGAAGTGATGGTTTAAAGGGTTGGTGGATTGGTGGATGTAGGCTGCGGTTTATGCTTGTTTTGTGGCTGTTTTGGGTGCAGTTGAGGGTGTGGTTTGGTGGAGTTTTAGGGCTGTGGATGAAAGTTTTAGATCTGTGGTAGATGGCAGCAAAGGTTTGATCGAAATCAATGGAAGTTGTTGTAGGTATGTGTTATCTTGTAAGAGCAGAATTATCGTCGAAGAAACAATGTTTTCTCGATGAAATTTTCACCAAAAACTTGAGAAATTTGAGGAGGGAATTGACAGCAAAATCTCAGTTTATATGACAGTAAGGATGTCCAATTTAATCAAAAAAATTTTGGCAGTATAACAAAAAGAAAATTGGTGCAAGTTGCGATAGCAGAATTCTCGTCGAAAAAATTCAGCGGCTTGCGACGAAAATTTACAGCAACACAAAATCGTTTTTAGAGATGAATTCCTCAATAGATCAATCTTAGATGGAAGCTAAGATGATCTATGAAGTGTATAAGAAATTTCGTTTAAAAAAGATTGCAAATAGATTGGTTAAGACAACAATATGCGGTTGAAATTTTCTGCAGCACAGATTTTCAAGTGTAGCTGATTGGACGTAAAAGATCAGTGGTTTATATTGAGAATTTTTCAATAAAACCAAAGGAAAATCCATTGTTAGGAAGTGTCAAAGCTGTCATAAAAATTTGGTAGAGATTTAGACAGAAAAAACGTGGTAGCAAGACCAAACAGACTGTGCTATGCGGCTGGAATTCTGCAATGTATCTTTCGTCGTTGAGATGAAAACTTTGCGAGGAAAAGTTTATGCAGTAATATTGAAACAATTTTTTTTTTGGATTTTCGAATAAGGATAACTAAATTGCAGCAGCAGTAAGGTAGGGAACTAGAACCTGTTGCAATTCACGGGGAGATCAAAGGATGATCCACGGTGGTGGAGATGACGGCGGAATTTGGCGACGATCTTTTAAGCAATTGTAGAAATTGCTTTGGGCAGCTGTGGAGGGCTGATGGATGGCTGTGGAATGGCAGCGAGACGCCAAGAACGCTGCTCTGATACCAGGTGTTAGAACCCTTACAGATTCTAAGCTTGGGGTTAATCTTTTTAGGGGATCGGCCTCCTTGGAACTCCATAGGGGTTCCTTCCTCCAAATTGCTGCTCAAAGGCTGCAGAAAAAAATCATCTATTGCTTAACAAAAGAGGATGAATACATGACTATTTATAGGGCTTCTGAACCCTAACTCCTAATAGGACTCCTAATAGTACTCCTACTCAAGACTCCTATTCCTTTACAACTTCTAATTCTTCTTTAAGAAACAACCTCCTAACCCTAACCGGCCTCTTCACCTCTTTAATAGGGGTCGGCTTAGGTAGGTTTTACATGAATGCCCCTCTCTATTAGGACTCTCCTAGCTAGAGTCCTAACACATGAATGCCCATATATCTGGACAAATGCTTAGCTATATGTCTATGTACATATTAGGAGGTGTACCATACATACCCAATATACTTCTTTCATGATCTGGTTTTGAGTGAATGTTTTCTGGTTCTGATTTCTGAATATCTTAACAGCTAACTGAGATCAGTTTTAGCTATCAAATTTTAGTGTTTTGCATTACCAGTAAAGCAAATAACAAATCTATTCTGTATGACTATTTTCTTTCTTATTTTTATGAAGTTGGGGCATATCCCAATATGCAGAACTTGTTTGGGGAACTTGGTATCAATGATCGCTTGCAATGGAAGGAGCATTCTATGATTTTTGCAATGCCGAACAAGCCAGGAGAGTTTAGCAGATTCGATTTCCCAGAAACTCTTCCTGCACCTTTCAATGGTATGTAATAGAATTTGACCATCTTGATTATCATCTGTAGTATATTATTTAGCATATTCGTGTAATTAGAATGTGAACCACAACAGAATTCATTGGAAATTTTATCTTAGTAGTGCAATAATGTAAGTCAACTTACCATGAAGAGTTGCAGGGTGATGAACTGATGATTTTAGAACTGGGACATGCAATAAAAACAGAAGGAACTGTACCATAAAGAACACTAACCTATATTAAAATATTTTGAGATTGTTTAAGTCTTCTAGTTCGGTTTGCAACTTATGAATTGACAGAAAATAAGTTAGTCCGGAGCACTGATGCATTCAAAATAGACAAAATATACAATTTGAAGCAATCATTGTACATGCTACTAATGCCGGGCCATGCTCTCTGGGACATACCATGTTGGTGTGGCACCATCATGAATTATTTACCTCATTGAGATTGTTGTTATAGACACTAGATAACACTTCTGCAAATTAGTGGTGGAGCTATTTACATAAATATTTTTATGCCTTGACCAATTTTATAATTTTTTGGCAGGAATATTTGCAATATTAAGAAATAGTGAAATGCTGACTTGGCCAGAGAAAGTGAGATTTGCACTTGGACTTTTGCCAGCCATGCTTGGAGGGCAAGCTTATGTGGAGGCGCAGGATGGGTTGACTGTTACAGAGTGGATGAGAAGGCAGGTACTGTAATTCAACTTATTGTACCGAAATATAGCCATCTTTTTCAATTTGAGTTCCAATCTAAAAGGAAATCTTCCTCTGGGAAAAGGTTGACTTTTAAATGCTTAGATCAAAGTTCAAATGACTGCATTTAAGGATTCAAAAGTTCCAGATGATGCATATCTAGTTGTCAGCATGTGACTTACATCATGCTGTGCCATGAAAACTAAAACAAATATAGCCATATACCAACATGCAACATGTTCCCCAATCTAAACTATCTTGAGTTGCTTCACATGGTAAACAAAAATGTTTCCATAGCCTGCACCTATTAATGTGTTGGGCATTTAATATCTAGATGATGCTATGCCATGAAAACTAAAACTAATATTTTAAGCATATCCAAACATGCAACATGTTCCCCAATCTAGACTACCTTCGAGTTGTTTTACATTTACATGATAAAAAAAAATGTTTCCATAGCCTGCATCTGTTCAATTATATTAATGTGTCAGGAGTCATGATTTTTCAGGAAGTTATTTCTATTTTTGCTGAACAACAATGTAGATCACACGTTCACCTTGTAACAATTTTGAGTAGAATTGACAAAAACTGAAATTACTTGAAAAATAATTATAGCACAAATATTTTTAAAATTTAATATCATCTAGGAGACTATGGTCTTGTGCTTTAATGTTGATAAGTTTGAACGGGTGATTAATTTGATATTGAACCTCTTAACCATTTACTCCATTTATTGGCCAAACATGGATTAGCATGTATCTTATATGCTAATCCATATAAGATACATGGATTAGCATGTATAAGCATTTACTTTAGCAGGTATTAACATGGATTAGCATGTATACCATGGAGATTTTGAATAAGGATCGCTGTTTCAGATATCGGACCCATTTTAGTAACCTAGTTGGAACGGTACATATTGGTTAATACCTATGTACCATGGGTTGGTACTTGGTATGTACCAATGTTTCTGAGCGGAAGAAAAAGAAGAGGAAGGGCAGCGGAGAAAGAGAGGAGGAAGGACTTGTGATTCCCAATGACTTGTGCATTTTCTTGTTCAAAGCCATCATATACAGTTTTCATCTTCTTTCTATATGCCAAGATATAACTTTCTGATTTCAAACATTCTTTTAATTATTTGAATTTCGGAAAGATTATAGCTCAGGAAATTTATTGACAATAATAATTTTAATAAATTCAATGATCAATGCAATAGAGTAGGAGCCACTGTTGGCCATTTGGAAACAATGTGGCAAATGACAATAAGTTCATGGTCTAGAAAGTATTCAGCAAAATTAGAAACAACTCCCTGTTATTGTTCATACTTCATAGTAGTAACCAAGGTAGGCAATACCGACCGGGCGGTACGTATCGGTCTGACGGCATACCGGTACGCGGACCGCCCGCTATCGGGCGGAACGAAAAATAATAATAAAATAATATATATATATATATATATATATATATATATATATATTTATTATTTATTTATATATAAATATTTTAGAAAAAGGCGACGTTCAGCGACGTCGCTGAGGTGCTTATTTTGGACTTTATATATATATATATATATATATATATATATAAACGAGGCGACGTCGCGTCGCCTCGGCGACGTTGCCTCGCGTGGG